CTCCGGAGCCAGTGGCCAGCAGCGTGGAGTGATAGAGACCAGCAGGAAGTAGGAAATGTGTGAGAAATGCTGCCCCAGCTTCTTGCATAAGAGAGCTGGGTGCAGATCCTCAGAGGTGTCTTGGGCCCAGCAGCTTTCCTGCAGTTGTCACCCTGACAGCAGGAAGCTGTGTGAGAGAGAAGTGGATGGTCCTTGCCTGAGACCTGTTAGAAGGTACTTGGTGAGAGAGCCTTTGCCTTACAGAGGTGGTCCCAGGACTGTCTCCGGTCAGGGTTGGGGTTGGTAGTAATAACCCTAGTAGCAGTTCCAAGGGATGGCTTCACTACCTGCTCAGTTTTCCTTCTGGGGAGAAAGGCTTGTGCAGGGGATCAGAGTCCCTGCTCTGTCCTTAGCTCTGGACACAGCAGTGACTGAGGAGAGTAGCTATGACTGGGCAACTGGTTTTTATGGAGGTCTGACAAGGCTTTGCAATTTTGAGGTATCTGCCCCTTCCTGCACAGATCCTTCAAGCTGACCTTTGCTATCGCCGGAGGCACCCGTAGCAGTAAAGCTTGCTAGCTTTGTAACACAAAGTCTGTTCTTTACTGTGTTCTTATTTGTAAGATTCCTGTTCAGTTACAGATGCCAATGCCGAGCAGCAAGTGAAAAGGAGCCCACTCTGGATTTTCTTTCTGGTTTTTGTCTGTTTTTAGCAACATCTTCCTACTGGAAGAAATGCATGTACAGATACAAAAGTCTAGAGGGTGAATATTTCTGTAATAAAGACTTTGCTAAAAAATATATATGTATGCCTATGACTTGTGCATTGCAGTGTTTTCTCCTTGCTTCTTTTCCACTCCCTTCTGCTTAGCATGCAAATCACTGACACCTCCTTTGTCCGGGGTAGCAAAGGGCCTGGCACAAAGCTGGTCTGAGGCCCACGTAGTGTGGACTGTGAAGATGCTGGGCAGCAGAAGGGGTGACAATGCTTCTGGGCTGTATTGCAGAGTAAACGTTGCCTTGTTTCATCAGGTATGGTTATCTGTGAAGTCGTAAGCCTTGGGAACTAATTCTGCCAGAATCTAAGCTTGCTGCTATTCCCACAGTGCGTACAGCTCTTGCTAGCTAGTTTTATCATGTTTTTTCTACTCACCTTCAGTAGGTTTCTGCCTCCAGGCTGCTGTTGTTAAAAGAAGGCTCCTCAGCCCCTGCCCTGCCACTGTGAGGAGGAAGAAAGTTGAGGATGCCATTTCTGTAGGATATGTCACCACACACTGGGCTTGACTGAAAAGCTCTTGAGAGAGAGAGCAAATGTATCAGTCTTCTTGCTTTCCTCAGCTAAAGAGTTGAGAAGTGGGTATGAACTGGATCTTAAAATCTCCTCAGATCCTGCTGTGTTGGTGTTTCTGGCCATTTAAAATGGCTCAGAAGAACCTGTGGTGGTGTGCTAACGGAGTCGGGAGCTGTCGCGTTAGGAAGTCATGAGCATCACCTAAATCCTTATAGATGCTTGAAGAAATGAAGTTTGCAGAGAAGGGACTGGGGTGCTGCCAGCCAGCACTTGTGGCAACTGGTCTAAGTCAAGACTTCAGCAACCCTGACCAGCTGAGTGCAGAGCAAGAGGTGCTTAAATGGGTCCTGGACCCATGGTAGGGTGCAATGATCTGTCTGATCTGTGAGTCCAACTCGTTCCTTTAGGCTGTCCCAGGCTGTGACTGAGGAGAGCTTGGTTCTTGGCCCTGTGGAGTCTCCCCTCTTGCTGGCTGGTTTCACAGAGCAGCCTTTTCAGCACCTTTTCAGCCTTTAATCAGGTGACAATGCTTTCCCAGGGCCCCACAACTTGGAGGGCTACACTTGATGGCACAACTGCCAGCCCTGAGCAGACAGCTGATGGCTGGAGAAGGATGCTGCTGCTTTCCATTGAGCCTGGTGTGGAGCTGGAAGGAGAAAGGAGGGAAGGTGAGGACTGTTGCTTGTCCTCAACTTGTGTCCCCAGTTGCCCGAGCTCAGTGGGAACCAGTTGCCTTTGGCCGCTGGAGGGAGATGTTCCACCAAGAAAACTCAGCCCGGGCTGGTCCCTGGAGCCAACAGGATGACACTCATCCTTCCTCCTGCTCCCATTCGCTCCTGGCAGCACGGGAGCTAAAATAACTTGCCGTTACAAATGTGTTCTCCTCGGAAATGATTTGTGCTTTATGATTGGCATTTTTCGGGATAATTTTCCCTTCCATTTCTTGGAGTTCAGTTGGGTATTTTGTTGCATGTCTTCCACTACTGTGAGAGTTGTATTTCTTTCTTGAAGCTGTTTCTGCTCTGTGTAGCTCTGGAAGCTAAAGACAGCATGAAGAGCTTCTCCTACTGCTTTTTTCCTTGTTCCCATTGCTTTCTGTTTCTCTCCAACCTCAGTTCCTTTGTGCTGTCAGTCTGTGGGAAAGGAGAGGTATTTAATTTAACTTGGGCTAAAAATGATTCCAGAAGGAAAACCTTTAGCTCTTCAAAGAGCAAGGAAGCTGCTGCTGCTCCTCGGGCCAGGCTCCCAGCTCCTCTCCAGAGGTAAAGGATTGCTGCTGGAACTAGAAATCAGACTAGCATTCAGCCTCCTTGGGAGCAGCAGTGTTTGTCTAGCAAAGCCCACAGTCCCAGCCTCTGCAGGAGCTCAGCACATGGAAGCATTTTGTGCACAGCCAATAAGCTGCTATGGAGCTGTCCCAGGCCCACCATTAATATTGCAAGAGTAGAGTTGTGACCTCCCTGTGGCCTTGAGTAAGGCCCCTAGTAATGAACTGGTGACGTTCCTCATTCCGTGTGATCATGAAGCACTCAGAAACTGCTATAATTCTTCCAATGAGGTGTATTGTTTTTTCTGCTGGAAAGGGAAGAGGAATTGCATTAGTTAAAGTGGCTCTGGTAAGTCTATAGGTCGCAATGCATCTTGTTGACTGTGGTGGTTTCTGCTTGGCACATACTCAAATGACACGTGGCAACTGTTCTGTCCCCTGTAACTCCCCCGTGGGTGGTGGTGTGGCTGATTCCTGCCAGCTTTGTTTAGGAATTAGACTGAGTTTGATAGACTTCAGAAAAATTCTGATTTCTGGCTGCTGAAGGGCAGACTGGAGGTGGTTGCCAGACTAGGAATTGGCTGGGGAAGGTGAGGAACAGGCAGCCACAGGGGCTGGTTGCTGAAAAGCCTGAGGACCCTGGGATTTAGGGTTGGACTCGATGGTCTTTGACCCGGTTGATTCTATGATTCCCACACATGCTGCCATAAATGGGGAACATACCCTCACTCATTCATGGTCTGGCTGTGTCCCATTAGTCTCTAAGACTCTTCTCTAGCTTTGGCCTTCTATTCCAAACAAACCTCAGTAAGCAGCCAGGAATTCTGAATGACATCTTAAACCAGATTAAGACTAAAAACTTGTCAGTGTCAAAGATCTAGCATGGAAATCTTCAAACACTTGTAATCTGACAATGGCCCTTAGCAAAAAATAGGCAATTAGTGAACCAAAGCTATTAGCAGAATGTTGCTAGTAAAGCTCCTAAGTGCTTTAGCCATTGTAAGCTACTTCCAGCTGGTGTGTGCTGGAGAGTGCGTGTAGTTTCTTGCCTTGTGGCAAGAATCTCTTCTGCCAAACTTGGAAAATTACCTTCTTAATCAGATTGTGAACTTCTAGCCATACATTCTTCTCACAGGTATGAATTTTCTGGTTTCTCCCCTGTAAGCTGTTTGTAATGCAATTGGCTGGGGGTGTGTGCTGTTTGGCTTCTGTGGGGAGGGGTTAGAGGAGTATTAGATGCTCTGCACCTGGAGAAAAAGGTATTCTCGGTTCTCCAGGCAAAAATATTAGCTCAAATTAAAACAGAGGTTTAAGAGAAGGGTCAGGCTCCAAGTAGCATGTGCATGCTCTAAGAGGTATGGGATCTGAGAGGCAAAATCCTGCTTGACCCAAGGATGGTCACACTTGAAATCAATTTGTCTCGGGTGTCTTCCCTATAACTCTCTCACTGACAAGTGACATCCTGAGGTGACTTGTCTGTCCACACCAATCCAGAGTTAAGCAGAAAGTATGGAAACCTACTTCTGTAACTGCAGCAGGCCCTATCTTCAGGAGGCTAGAGAGCATTCTCCTCCCCTCCTATAGGCTCTAGGTGCTGGTAACTCCCATTCCTTCCCAGTGCTGCTTGGAGCAAAGGCTCAGGGATTCTCTTACTGAGTGCTCACCAGGTTAGGAGCTGTTGGTGTACACCTCTGTGAGGCCATCACACTGCTGCTGCTGCAGGTGTGCAGCAGATCTAGGTCTCCCACAGGAGCCCAGATCCTCACCTTGTCCATCATGT